ATGGCAAAGAGGTACATGAAAACATGCTCAACATCATTAACCATCAGGGAAGTGCAAATCAAAACCACACTGAGATATCACCTCATGCTTGTTAGAATGGCTATCATCAAAAGACAAGAGGTAACAAATGCTGATGAGGATGTGGGGAAATAAACCCTTGTTCACTGTTAGTACCTTTATAAATTGGTACACCTACTATGGAAAACAGTATGAAGGTTGCTCAAAACTTAAAATAGAACTACCATATGATCCACAATTCCACTCCTGGAAACATATCCAAAATAAATAAATACACTGTCAAAGAGATATCAGCATTCCCATGTTCATAGCATTATTACAATAGTCAAAACATGAAACAACCTAAGTGTCCATCAATGATAAAGAAGTTGTGGTATATGTATATACAATAGAATATTATTCATCTATAAAAAAAGGAAGAAATCCTTTCATTTGTGATAACACGGATGGACCTGTAGAGCATTATGTTAAGTGAAATAAGTAAGACAAAGAAAGACAATTTTTTTTTAAGATTTTATTTATTCGTTTTAGAGAGAGAGAGAATAGGGGCAAAAGGAGAGGGAGAAAGAATCTCAAGCCAACTCCACACTGAGCACAGAGCCTGATGTGGAGCTCGATCCCACAACAATAAGATCATGATTTGAGCTGAAACCAAGAGTCGGACGTTCAACAGACTAAGTTACCCATGCACCCCGAGAAAGACAAATTCTTTATGATCTCACTTATATGTGGAATATAAAACAAACAAACAAACAAAAAACCATACTCATAGAAGGAGAGATTAGATTTGTGCTTACCAGAAGTAGAGGTTTGGGTGAGGGGGTGGAATCTGACAAAGGTGGGTCAAATATACAAACTTCCAGTATAAGATAAATAAGTACTGGAGATATAATGTGCAACATGATGACTACAGTTAACACTGCTTGTAGTATATTTGAAAGTTAAGAGGGGAGATACTAAGAGTTCTTTTTTTTTTTTTTTTTTAAGATTTTATTTATTTATTTGACAGAGAGAGACACAGCGAGAGAGGGAACATAAGCAGGGGAGGTGGGAGAGGGAGAAGCAGGCTTCCCGCCGAGCAGGGAGCCCGATGCGGGGCTCGATCCCAGGACCCTGGGATCATGACCTGAGCCAAAGGCAGACGCTTAACGACTGAGCCACCCAGGCGCCCCGAGATACTAAGAGTTCTTATCATGAGGCAAAAAACATTGATTTCCTTTCTTTCTTTTTTGTATTTATATGAGATGATGGATGTTAACTAATTTACTTTGGTAATCATTAAACAATGGATGTAAGTCAAGTCATTATGCTGTACAACTTAAACTTATACAGTGCTGTCTATAAATTATATACTAACAAAGCTTGGGAAAAATGAGAATAAACTCTTAGTGATGAGAAGGGAAATATGCCACTAATACATCAAAACTTGATATTTTTCTAGACTACATATGGAAGATTGAATGCTACATGTTAAAACAGGAAATCTTTAATCCAATATTAATAAGAATTAATTTTTAAAAAGGAACTAGGATTTTCATGGTAATTATCCTACGATTTTGGAGAACATGCGACTCGAAGCTCTCAATTCTAAAAATATAAGCATTTCTGCTATAATAATGTGTGCATTCCTCTAAAACATCCCCTTAGGCCAAATCAACCACCAGAAATAACTAGGCTTCTGGAGAAAACATGTAGAGGTAAACCACTGCAACTTTGTAACTAGAGTTCTAACAAATGCAACCACAATCTTAATACATTTTAGCACAGCTAAATCCACTCTAGGTTTTCACCCAGTACCAGCTAGGTTTTCACCCAGTACCAGAGTTAGCTTTCATAGGTTTAAACACTGGGACTCACCTTCTTCCATTGAGATATAGCTCCTGGAGGACACCCATTCCCAATAGAGGTAAGTCTTATCAAAAATAAAAATATTTAGAAATATCTTTGCAGCTTCTTCACCTGCATTTGCAGCCTCACTGGATACGTTAACATTGTAAAAAGCATAATGATTATCCAGAGCATCAAACTATTCAAAACTGATTCCAAAGGAAGGTACTACTATAGGATCTTTAGCTGTTTTTTCTTAAGATTTCATTTATTGCTAAGGTTTTTGTTTAATGGTAAGAAAGATTCCCCTGATTGTTTCAAAAGCTGCTAACTTGGTGTTAACCAATGAAACTTCTGGGTTATACTTACATCATTTTCCTATTTACCAATCCATTATATACTTGTGACAGAAACAAATGTTCTTTTGTATCAGAAAGCTATTATCAAATTTAAAGTCTTAACACTACTCCCCAAATTATTATAATTTTTGTTTTACCTTTGTTTTTTGAAAACAGGACAGATCTATAGATAATATATACATATACATATACACATGCAACAAGCACCTTCAAAATGGATCTGAGTGTTATTATTTTACCTTATTTCCTGGTTGTATAAATTTTCAGATAATATCTTTAGACAGAAGAATATTAAGAGACGATATGAATAACCTAAAACTATTAAACCTTAATTTTCCTAGAAAAACTTTTATACACTGATGTTTAAAATCCTACACACTTTAAAAACATGAGAAATGTTTCATAAGAAGGTATTCTATTATGAAAATACAGATCACCATAGATACATTTCTACTACTTAGGTAAACATCATGTGTGATTTTTCTTTTCTGAATGTAGGGCACAGCAACAGATCTCATAGAATCTTTAAAGGAGAAACTCCTGTTTTCACATTCTGATCCACAGATACTCTGCAATCCTACTGGTCCGAAGAGAAGAGTCAAGCAGTCAAGTAGAATTTCACAGAAAGACTAGTTTATAGGTTTTCATAAAAGCATGTTCAAGTTAAGGAAGAAAGATATATAGTAAAATATGAATACTTACGCTTCACATTTCCTTCTGCCAGCCAATACCATGAATAGGCCATTTGTAGTGATGTGGATGAAACTGGAAAGTATTATGCTAAGCGAAATAACTCAGAGAAAAACAAATACCAAATGATTTCACTCATATGTGGAATTCAAGAAACAAAACAAATGAGCATGGGGTGGGGGGGAAAGAGAGGCAAACCAAGAAACAATCTTAACTATAAACAACAAACTGAGGGTTGCTGGAGGGGAGGTGTTCAGGGGGGATGGGTTAAATAGGTGATGAGGATTAAGTAGGGCACTTGTGATGAGCGTTGGGTGTTGTATGTAAGTGAAAAATCACTACATTCTACACCTGAAGCTAATATTACACTGTATGTTAACTACCTGGAATTTAAATAAAAATTTGGAGAAAGAAAAAAAAAAAAGAATAGGACAATGTCTACCCTTACACACAGGGTCATTGACTAATGTGTATAATAAAGGAGAAATATTGTCAATTGTTTCTTCTCCCAAGAGAACAATGGAAACAATGTAGAGAAGTTTTTGTTTTATAACAATCTGATTTTTATTCCAATATTTAGAAAACTGCTATATAATTTGGATGGATGTACAATGATGCATGAAATAATTATTTAAAAACTCTCTAGAGAAACATATTTAAGCTTAAGAAAAATTCCACAAATGGTTGACACATTTTCTACATTGAAATTTGAATATATTTTCGCATGGAATAATTATAATTATCATACAATGAAATATAAAAGCACAAAAATGGAAATCAGGTATCAGATAGTCTTTATCAATAAAACTAAGGTCAAAGTAAAAATATATGATCATATTGAATTTTGTGTCCAATAAAATTAAAGGAGCATAAAAATGTATATTGCAAATTGGTCAATTGACCAGAGAAAGTTTCTAAAGAAACCTCTCTGTGGTGAAATAAAAGATAAATAAAATGATAATTTTTAAACGGTTTAAAACTAGCTTCTTTTGGAGAATAAATATGACATTAACTTAAATTTTTATTATATGAACTGGATTGACAAATCTAATGTTATTTTGAAAAATTAGAGAAACAAATATCCAAGCCCAAATGAAAAGTAATAAGAATAAACTATATGAAACCTAAGTAGTCCTACATATCCAGAGGCTAATAACTAACACATATGATATCACTGTAGTCAGAATTAACTTACATATATTTTCCCACTTCTGCTTCATCTTCTTCTTTCAAAGTATTCTCTATTGAAAGTATTAAATGTGTATTTTACAATATCTTTTAAAAATCTAAAACACAGAGACTCTATTATTATATTTGTACTCAAATTATCATAAAACTTATGGGGTCACATGAATCACATTCATTTATTAAACATGTAACTATATTGTAATTATTTCAAATTTTATTAATATAGCATTCCATTGATGGACTGACAGTGTATAATTCTTCCACATTGATGATCCAGTTATAAATCAGTTCTTTCCCTTTTTTTTTACTTTTAGATTCTTTATAGGTGTATGCAGGATGTCATTGTCCTCCTTTGATAAACATTTATATAGGCAAAATGCAATAGCAGTGAAGAAGATAGTGAATACTTTGCAAACAGAACCTAAATTAAAAAAAAAAAAAATACAAGCATCAGATGTATCAATCTATTTAGAGCAAAAATATTTGTGGAAAGAATGCCAATTACCAAAGAAAAACTAAGTATATTTCATCTCTATAAAATATCAATTCTCCAATTGTAAAATGTAATTAATGTCATAAACTTATATCAAGTTATTTAAAGGAGATTTTTGTAATGTTTACAAAAACTTTTAGATTTCTTAAAGATACAGCCCAAGAAAAATGCAAGATGTGTTATTATTTCACAGAATGTATTAACTCTAAAGCTTAAAAATACATTTCTGCTATCAAAATTTAAATATCAATAAGAACTGGAACATAAATTAACTTCATGAAGCTTCACTCTTTTTGAAATATTCACCATTTTCCAAATAAAAACAAATATTTTAGAAAAATTAGTTGATTATTAGGGTTTTTATTCATTTTCATGTTTCATGTTTCAGAAAATATATTACAAGCATTATATGAAAGTACTTGAGCTTAGGATGCAAATGACCCTGAAAATTAAAGTAAAAAATATTTTAGAGCAACAATATCAATTATCTGACAATATTAATTATAGTGGTTACAAAAGATAAAGTAAGAAACATTAGTCTGTCATTTATAATGACACAATGATTTTCATACATTTTTAATAGCACAACACCGTAAACAACCCAAATGAATTTTAACAAGAAAAATGGATAAATTGTAGTATATTTACAAAATGACGTAGTATTCAGAGATTTTTTAAAAGCACAAACTACTGCTATGGAATAACACAAATGAATCTCCCCAAAGCATATTAAGCAACACAGAAAAAAAAAACTGTATATACTGCATTACATTTGCATAAATTGCTAGAACGTGCAGAACCAACATACTGTAATAGAAATCTCAAAGAGGTTTATCTGTAGAGGAAGGAAATGGACTGAAAAGGGATATGGGGGAAATTTCTACAACTTGAATGAGGTGCTGGGTACATAGGTGCACTCAATTATCAAAGGCCATCAAACTAAACACCTAAGATCTATGCTAATTGTATCTTAATTACATCTCAATATTTTTAAGAGTACTACTTGATACATTTTTCACAAACTAAACACAGTGTGACCAGCATCTGGATCAAGAACAAAACATTGTCAACATCCCAGAAGCCTTCCTTCATGTTTTCTCAAAGTCACTAACCCAAAAGGGTTAGTTTTGTTCACTTTTGAAGTATATTTATAACAGGTCAAAACTATGTAAGTGGAATCATACACTGCATAATCATTTGTTTCTGGTTTCTTTCATTCAACGTTATGTTTGTATGATTCATCCATTATTTATGCCATTGTGTAGTTTTCATTTTCATTGTTGTATACTATTGCATTGTTGATTTTATCACAATTTATCCAAACCATTATTTATTGACTATTTGATTATCCGCTTTTGTGACGTGTTCTTTCATGTCCTTTGTCTATTTTTTCCATGTCTATCCTTTATTATTGATTAATGAGAGTGCTTTATATACTTTGGACATTGGTTCTTTTTCACATTTTACCTTCTAAACTGTGGCTGTCTATCTTTTAATTATTTCTTTTGATGCTCAGAACTTTAAAATGTCAAACTAGTTGACATTAAATTGCCACAAAAGCATATTCCTGTTGTAGTTTCTGTGTTTGTCCTTTCAGACGTAATTCCCTATTTCTTTATTATTGTTATCTCCTCTTAGTAGCTCCTTGGCAGGATCTCTAGCAGTTCACCAGTTTTCTCAATTATGTGCTGTTTGAAAATAAGTAAGCATGCTAGTTATATCTAAAATAAAAATTAAAAGGCTCAGTGTCTTAAGAGGACTTACTTACGAACAATGCCTAGTTTTGTTGAATTATCTCTGAGAAATTAATTCTGACTACTTAAATGTCATTTTTTTACTTTTTAATTGTTTTCTAAAATTTTACTTTACTCAGTGTTCAATGTAGACTAAGCTGGCTGGATAACTGACTTTTGAATTACAGGACACCACTGTATACTTTATCACAGAGGTATTTGTTACTGTTAAATATTAGAGTCTATTATGTGTTTCTTTGAATTAATGAACCCACTCATTAAAATCACAAAACATATAAAGACTTTTAAGTATTTATCACACCAACATCATCTATGCAATAAAATCACAAAATGTTAGTACTGATTAACATTTCAGAAATTATGTAGTCCAACATCCTCATTTTACAGATGAATAAATTGAGACCCAGGAAGATCTAGTGAATTTTCTAAAGTAATGCAAGCCTATTTAGACTTTCTCAACATTGACCATAGCTCATATCACCATAGTATCCCAATTCCCCATATCTCTTATTTATTCATCAAATAATGAATGCCTGCTATGTGGATTGTTATATCATTAAGCAAAAGAAACAGCGAAACTTACATTTAAGTAGGATAAAAATATCTTTATGTTCTTTAGGTGTGTGAAAAAAATTTTTTTTAATTATCCAGTCCTTTACTATGGAAATGGAAATTGTCACAAGGTCGAGCAACTTGGTTGTATATGTATATGGACAAAATTGCTTCCTAAATTGAAATTTTGCTAATTACCACCCTTTATTCAGGAGTAACATAAAACAATTGTGTATTTAGTGGAGTGACTCAAATATTCATATAAATACTATAAAACTTTAGTTTCTAAAATATTTTCTATATAATAAGGCTTCTTTAATCATCAAAGTATCCATTTGTTCACAGTTTATTACTGTACACTATTATAAACAACTATATGTTTTTAAAACAATTATACTTTTCTATATTTCCTCTTTTAGAACAATTATACTTTTCTATATTTCTTCAATAGGTATCACTTACATACTCCTACCATAAGGTAAGCCATTTTCATCTTATTATAGATCCAACAATTTCCTTTTTTTCCACAGAATTCAGTCTCCCGAAAGATACAAGAAGTTTCTCCTGCCATTTTAAAAAGTATTGGTCCAGGTATCGTCCCTATGAAAAATGCAGTAATTGTAAATTCTCCATGAAAACACTTCAGGTAAGGACAAGAATGTTTTTATTCTAAAATTAAACATATATTTAGTCATCATCACATTTACATATATCATTTAAAATTAGCTAAGAATTTACTTACAAATAGGATTATTAATATCTGGAAACAATGACTGTATTTTTAAAAAATCCTTATTTCTGCAGGTATAAAACTTAGTATATTTCATATTTTTAGAATGATGTACATATTTATTGTTATGTAGTAGACATCTCACAACTTTTAATTTTTCAATTAAAAATTTAGGAGAAAGTAAGAGAGAGATATTAAATATTATTTTGGGGAATTCAGTATACCTCCAAAGATTTCGAATTGTGAAATTTTCAATCAATGATAAGTTAGTTTCATAATGCAATGTACATCTGTTATCAAGATATTGAGAGAAAAAACTGAAAATGTAAATGCTTTGGTATGTTTGTAGCAACCCCTAAATTCAGAGAACCTCAAATCCCGAGGAACAGTTGTGTGCTGCCTGAGGTAAATCTCTATATACTCAGAGACAACATCTGCTCAGCAACAATTTCAGCTAAAATTGAAGTAAAAGTCACTTAAATAAAAAGCCAGTGGGGAGCCTGGCTGGCTCAGTTGGTGGAGCATATGACTCTTGATCTTGGGGTTGTGAGTTCCAGCCCCATGTTAGATGTGGAGATGACTTAAAAATAAAATCTTAGAAAAAAAAGCCACCCCAAAGGCTTTAGAAAAAGGATCTCAGAACTAACATGTCTTAACCATCTTCCTTCTATCAGGGCCCTCATGCTTCGTGACTCTTGATTCCTGCCAAAGATCACTATCCATCACCAGTTTTCCCAATCTCATTGAGTGTTAGCACTCTGTGCTTAAGGTGAAAAACTTAGGCCTACTATTCATTATTTTTCTATTTTCCATCATATTTTTCCAATCCATGATAATAAATCTCTGTGACTCTAACTCCAGACATACCTTGGATATGTTGATTTCTCTGTCTTTTACAACCTCCAAAATCCAATTTAATATAATTCTGACTTAGACTTCAGCAGAAGCCTTTTTTTCCTCCACATTTATCTTCTATAAGTATTTCTCCCTCAGAAGCAGAGTTATCTTTTAAGTGTAAATCAGATAATCTCTATCCTCTGCTTCAAATTCTCTGTTGGCAAAATCTTGTTAGATATAAGAGCGAGTCTGTATCTAAAATATAATATTCCACCCTCTTCCATCAAAACTGTATTAGTCTCCCTGGCTTCCTTTCTGATGCAGAAAATATTTCTATACTTGTTGTTTCTCATGTTCCTTCTTCCATTACAAACCTGTCATTGGGGCACCTGGGTGGCTTAGTCAGTTAAGGTTAAGCATCTGCCTTCGGCTCAGGTCAGGATCCCAGGGTCCTAGAATCGAGCCCTGCATGGAGCCCCCACATCGGGCTCCCTGCTCAGCAAGGAGACTGCTTCTCCCTCTCTCCCTTCCTCCCTCTCCCTTAGCTCATGCTCTCTCTCTCAAATAAATAAATAAAATCTTTTTTAAAAATTGTCTTTATGTAGTGGGTCATTATTCATATAAAAATATGCTCTTATTTTTCCTGATTAAAAAAGCAATTTTAACCCCACACATTGATCTAGTTATTGAATTATTTCTCTGATCCCCATCAAAACCACACTTAAATTTTTCTACATTCTTGACTTCATTTATCATATGTTTTTCAGTCTTCAATCCAGTTCAATCTTGTTTCCTTACCCCATTAATATTTTTAACCAACTTTTGAACCAGAGGTGCTAATATAGTCATAATGCAGATTTGAAAGCTAGTGTTTGCTATTTAAGAAAGTCTGAAGTCCACAGTGCATTATCCTCAGCAAGACCAATTTCTTCTTTGGCCATAAATCCTTGAAAACATCAGATTCAGAGTCTTTGGTATTGAAAATGTTTAAAAGCACTAGTTTAGGTTAGTGACTTTCCAAACATGCAAGCAATCCTGTGGTTATGTGTTTTGTTTCAGCTTACCAAACCACTTGTATGAACTTGATGAATATACCTCTAATCAAATAGATTTTCCTAATCAAATATAATATTAATACATATTTTATATGACAGGATGGGCTTTGCACTAGGTATTGCCTTTTTACATAAATATTATCCTAAATTCTGCAAAGCAGTTCCCCCAGTCACTTGTTTTGTATCCGTTAACCATTATTATTTATTTGAAATTCCAAATATACATGTAGACACACATATCAAAAAATGAACAATTCAGTGTAATAAAAGATTGCCAAAAGTCCATACCAAATATTCTCAAAATCACATAGGTCAAACCCAAGGCCAAAGAACGTTGATTGTCTGATACAATCCTGCAAGCAAATAGTAATGATATTACCAAAACATCATTATTAGCTATAGAGAATGTTTGCTAGATTCAAGGTTGGTTTTTTTTTTTTTTTTTTTTTTTTCCTGTGCATCAATTAAACAAACTAAGAATCTTTAGCCAGTTGACAGAGTTCATTCTGGGTGAATTAAAGAAGCACCACTCCTTCAATTTCTTCATATCCTTCCCCTTGCCAACTGATTCCAAAGCTTCTTGCTCTTCACAAGGAGGAAGCATTTATGGACCAAACCTTCTGCCCCAACCTCTTTTTCCTTTGCTGAAAAAAACAGCACTAACTTTCACACTTAACCATTTTCCATTTTGAGGTGCATACCCACTGTTTTAGATTTCTCCTTTTTGCCCCTGTGAGATCCACTCCCTACATTTCTCTACCTTTATGTCTGTCTTGGAAGGCTGACCTAAATGTACTACATCAGTAGGCTTTCTTGCTTTCTGTCTTCTAGTTAGGGTTTACGAATTGGGTGCTCCAGAGTGAGGAAGGAAAGTGAGGTCAAGGTGTTCATGCCCAGGATCTCTCCCTGCAGAGTTATATCAGGTTGACTGGGTCCCTAGGCAAAGCAGTCCCCTCTACAGTTCTCTCTCCTTCATACCCCTGTTTTCCTCTGGCCAAGTGGTAACAGACCAGAGGTACTATATTGTACCATGTGATTTCTTATACTTCACCCACATTTTAAATAGCCACTTTCTTCAACCTTGCTCAAATTGTCTTAATTGGAGGGTGCCTTCTCTTTCCTATTGGACCTGACTCTTACCCTCACTATTCAAAAGCTAAAATAAACAAAAAATAACTTTCCCAAATATAAAAAATGAACCTCTCTGTATTTCTTATCGGTCAAAGCAGGTATTTGTTCAAAAAAATGCATAACACCACATACTAGTTTGGAAAATGAAAATATAATTTAAAAAAGTCAACCTTTGAACATAGTAGGAAGTAAAAAATTAAGAACTACATTTTATTTTAAATAAACTCTATGCTTACCCTTTCTTTCCTTGCTCTAGAACTTGAACAATAAACTAGTATGACCAATATTTTTATCCAAACTGATTCAATTTAGGGGCACCTGGTTGGCTCAGTCGTTAAGCGTCTGCCTTCCGCTTAGGTAATGATCCCGGGGTCCTGGGATCGAGTCCCACATTGGGCTCCCCCTGCTCTGCGGGGAGTCTGCATCTCCCTCTGCCACTGCCTGCCACTCCCGTTTGGCTCAGGTCATGATCCCAGCGTTCTCGGATGGAGCCCTGCATCCGGCTCCCTGCTCGGCGGGAAGCCTGCTTCTCCCTCTCCCACTCCCCCTGCTTGTGTTCCCTCTCTCGCTGTGTCTCTCTCTGTCAAATAAATAAATAAAATCTTAAAAAAAAAAAAAACTGACTCAATTTACTAAAATGTAGCATATGTACAATATTTTGTGAATATTTTACAAAAAGTGAGGTAATTCTACCCATATCAACCTGGTGAAAATATATATTCTTTCCTCAGATGTTTACTACTAGGAAAATGAAAACAAATTAACCAATCTTCAAAAGAGAATGACTTTTTTAAATTAAAAAATAATTTACACTTCTATAATGAGCAGATTCCTAAGGGAGGGAAAAAAAAGCGTCACATTTTAGAACCGCACTTCTGTATAGGTCTTGGTATAATGTGGAAATATGAATAATAAGCCTAACTATAATTGTGTGTTCTGCTTCATTTAGCACAGGTAGTTCTATTACATGGCTTATCGTTGCTTTCTGAAGCATATATAGAGCTGACCATAACTCATAAGTGTAATCATTAAGGTGTATTTATGTGCCTTCAGTTTGATTATAACCATCTTTCTGATATACAAAACAAGATGAAAAGAGAAATGATTCCTAGGATTTCCCATAATCACTTAAATGAATGAACAAAATAAATAATAGATATGTATTAAAAATATTTAATAAAAAATGAGTATATTTTAACAAGGAAGTGAATATCTTTTGTACATCATCTAATAAGTAAAGCTATGATAGGATGACTTAAGAATTTCATGGAATAAATGAAACATTTGTTAGTACTCTTCCAAAATGTAAAAAGGCAGCTTCCATTATCTCTTATGACTTTTAAATTTATATTTTCATTCCATATCTTTCTTAAAAGACACCAGTTCTAGACTTAAGTTCCTGTTTTGCCCAAAAGCTGCTCTTCCCCTAATGTTCCCTATCACAAGAAGGGGAACTCTCATCCACCATCATGCAATGTTCAAGCCCAAAATGTGAAAAGAGGCATCCTTGTTTCCTCATTGACCAGATTCAATAACTAAATACTGTGATTTTTTTTTAAATACAGCTTTTTCATATCTCTTTTTCTGATTTAAAAGAAAAAATTATCTCTAAGACCACTGGCCTATTCCAAGGCTGTATCTTACTCCTTAAAAAAAAATTAAATGACTTCTTAATTTATCTCCCAACAAACATCCTTATCCTTTCAGTCCATTCTCCATGGAACAGCCAAAGTGATTTTTATTTACTCTGCAGTCAAATGCTCTACCACTGAGCTATACCCCCCTTTATTTACTCTGAAATTCTGATTATTTCACTGCCCCACTAGGATCTTTCAGCAGCTTCTACTTGTTCTTATGATAACATCTAGAATTGCAGAAAACTTTACAACGGTCAGCCTGATCACATCAGCCTCATTGCACGCCACCTCACACCGCATTTTTCCCTGAAGTCTATCTCATTATATTCAAACCACTTCCTAAAAGATCTTTGATTCACTTCTTTAAGATTTCACTTTCATTTTAAATGAAATTCCCACAAGTTGAGATCTTTTTTTAGGCTTACTGTCATTCTATTCATAAATCAATACTATTGTTTTAATAATTAAAACTTTATGGTGCATTTTAGCTTATGAGGCTAAGCCTCCATTATTGTGTTTCTTTAAGATTCCCAAGCTACTGTTATTATTTTTCCCTAAGAACTTTAGAATCAGATTTTAAAGTTCAATAATTATATTTGTATTTTGATTATCACATTAAAATTATCAATTATCTTAAGAACTGATATATTGGTAATGTTAGGTCTTCAGAAATCCATAATATGGGATACATCTTTCCCAACTGTTCAAGTCAGTCTGCTTTCATGACATTCATGTGTGTGTGTGTATGTGTTTCATTTTATTTTTTACTTTTTATTTTGAAATTATTTATTTTTGAAACTCACAGTTATTTGTAAAAATAGTACAAAGTACCATGGGTCCCCCAATGATGAAATCTTATATAACTATTATATAATATTAAAACCAGGAAAATGACATTGACTTATTTCTGTTAACCAGACTACTGACCTTAATCTATTTTCATTTTTCAGTTAATGTAGGTTAAAAAATTATTTTTAACTGAATTGGTGTGTGTCTGTGTGCACATGCATGCATGAGTGTGTGTATGCTATTTTTTTATATCCTGGAGCTTAATGACTTTTTATCTAAATGTATTAGCTATTATTTCCAATACAACATAAAAAGAACTGGTAATATTTTTCCTGGAAGTTTTATTGTAACAGAAAGATAAACACTGGAGTTCAAATCTCACCAAGAATGAAGGGAATGAAGGATCCTATGTTTAGCTTTCTTTCCATCAGGACCTCTTGAAAGACTATGTCCTAGAATAAAGGGCAACCTGGAAATTGGTAAGATCTTTTAGAGACTTAAACTTACCCTCAAACCAACCAAATTTCTGTTTGGATTACAGGGAACTGTCCCAATTCTGTACATCTAAATAAATTTATTGAAAAAAAAATTTTGGAGTTATTAATGTCTATAGCCTCTATTGTTTTTGGTACACAAAATCTCACATATGATTAAAAATAATTATAGGAACTACAAAAGAGACAAGAGAAAAAAATACAATATAATACTTCTATAGAATATTCAGATACTACATACCTGACAGAGATTTTAAATATGGGGAATTAATATATCCAAGAAAACAAATGATAAGATAGACAATTTTATCAGAGAACTAGTATCTAGTAAAAAGAAATGAAATTCTATAACTGAAAAATACACTAATTAGAATTAAGAATTCAGTAGGTGAATTTAATAGTTAATTAGACACAGATGAAGATACAATTAGTAAACTAGAGTATAGGTAAATGGAAAAGCAGATGGGGATAAGATTAAAGCATCAAAAATTAGAAAAGTGAAAAAACTTTAGTCTAAAGCACAGAGCATACAAACAAATGAAACTAGAAAGCAAAAGACAGTAAAAGACACATAGACAAAGTGAAAGGTTTATGATATGTGTAATTAAGATCCCAGAGATGAGGAGAGAAAGAATGGAGCAGAGGAATATTTGAAGAAAGAACACTTGAGAATTTTCCTGAATTAATGAAAGATATTGTGCTAGATAATCACCCAAGATGGCTGGCATCAATTCCTTTTTTTTTTTTTTTCTTTTTTCTTTTCTGTACATGCTAGTTGTTCCTGGCATCAAAAAGTGGAACCTAATGATTCTCTTCCTGAAACATGACTTTTTTAGCTAATAGAATGCAGAAAAGTGACATTCTTGGACATCCAGCCTAGGTCAAATAAAGCCTTGCTGCTTTTGCCTTGTAGCTTATGCTTGGGTCTCTTGGAACACTAGGACTTCAGACGCTCCCTTTTGGAACTGCTGTACTTTGTTAGCAGAAGTACAAGTCACATAAAGAGCCTACTTATGGTCAGTCAACCTCAATTAGGCTCCCAGCAAAAGTTAGCCTAAATTGTCAGTGGTCTTGGAAATCCAGCCCAGTCATGCTATCAGATGACTAAGTGTCATGTGGCATCTGACCACAAGCTCAAGAACTACCAATCAAGAACTACCCAATTGAGCTCAGTCAACTTACAGAGCCATGAGAGAGAAAGATAAAGTGTTGTCGTTAAGTAATAAATTTAAGATGGTTTGTTACTGCTATGGGCTGAATTATCTTCCTTCCAAAATTTATATGCTGAAATCCTAACCTCTA